ACTGGAGGTCCCAGGGAGGCAGCCCCGCCCACAGAGGGTGTGGCCAGACAGGGCTCGATAGGAGGTCCTAGGGAGGCAGCCCCGCCCACAGAGGGCGTGGCCAGACAGCCCGACTGGAGGTCCCAGGGAGGCGGCCCCGCCCGCAGAGGGCGTGGCCACAACAGGGCCTCGAAGGGAGGCAGTTGCGCCCCCCATTGGGCGTGGCCAGATCGGGGTCCAACTGGAGGTCCCAGGGAGGCGGCCCCGCCCACAGAGGGCGTGGCCCCAACTGGAGGACCCAGGGAGGCGGTTCCGCCCCCCATTGGGCGTGGCCAGAACGGGCCCAACTGGAGGCAGCCCCGTCACCGTGGGGTGTGACCAATGAGGGACCTGGATGGTGCCACTCCCATGCAAGGACCAAGGGAGGTAGTCCCGCCCCCACAGGGAATGGCCAATGAGGGCCCCGCATGATGCCCCGCCCACAGAGGGAGCGGTCAGCAAGTGCCTGGGGGGCCTATCCTGTCCAGAAAGGGCGTGGCCGGCCCTGGAGTTGGAAGGTTGCCCCGCCCTCGTGGGGCGTGGCCATTCCAAGCCCCTGGCCCCGCCCTGAGCCAACGCCCCAGTTCTCCAAGAGCCACTCCCTCCCTGCACCCCTGGGTGGACACAGTTGGTTGGCCGTGAGCGAGTGACCACAGGTCAGCCGTTCGAATCCACCAGCCACTCTGGGGGAGAAAGACGAGGCCGTCTGCTCCCGCGCAGACCGACAGCCCGGGAGACCCCCAGGGGCAGCTCAGCCCTGCCCTGCAGGGTCGCCGTGAGTGTCCACTCGATGGCATTTGGGGGGACTTTTGGTTTGCACGATTTAATAGCCGTTCACGGCAAAAAAAAACCCAAACCAGGTCCATGCAGCCCAACCCCGGCGCCCCCACGGCGCTCTCTTCCCGGGACCGGGTGTCCAGCAACGATGGCCAGGCCCTTCTTCCGCGGCTCCTCTGCGCGGACTCGGAACCCGGCCTGCCAGCCCGGGCCCCGGGCCGGCGTCCTGTTTCAGCCAGGGAGAGAGTGGGGGTGGGGGGCGCCCCCGCACCCCGTGCTGACGCCGCCCCTCCCCCAGGGACAAGGCGGGCGGCTACGGCATCCAGGCCTTGGGCGGCATGCTGGTGGAAAGGGTCCACGGGGACTTCCTCAACGTCGTGGGCTTCCCGCTGAACCGCTTCTGCAAGCAGCTGTCCCGCCTCTACTGCCCGGAGGCGCGGCAGGGCGGCCAGCGCGACCCCCACCTGCCCGCGGACCCCTTGGACGCCTCCGGGGACCAGGACAGCCGGCCGGGGCCCGCCTGCAATGGGGCCGTGGATGCGCCGCCCCCCGTCCCCTGGGAGCTGCTGGGCCTCATGGACGGCTTCCAGGGGTCTCAGGTACTCCCAGCTCGGAGGGGCAGGCGGGAGGGCCGGCCACGCGCGGGCGTGGGGGACAGTTCCCCCAAGGGGCTGCGGAAGAAAGGCCTGGCAGCCCGCGGGCGGGGAGCGAGGGGCTGGGGGGAGGTGCCCACCCAGGCTGGTGGTCTGTCTTGGAGAAACCAGCCCCCGAGGACCCCCGTAGGACACTGTTCCTCCCTGACACCCCCACCCCCGGTGTCTGGGGACGCGGTGGGCTGGCCAGGCCCTCCAGTGGCCTCAGGTGAGTTCTGGTGCACCTGGTGACCCCCGCCCCTGTCCTGCCCTGCAGGTGCTGTTCACAGCCTGCAGGCTGGCCGTGTTCGACGTGCTGAAGGACGGGGCCCTGCTCTCGGCAGCAGAGGTGGCCGGCAGGATCGAGGCATCGCTGTCTGGGACGGAGTGGCTGCTGGCCGCCTGTGCAGACCTGGGGCTGCTGGAAAGGCGGGAGGAGGGTGAGAGGGGGCGGACGCCCGGAGAAGGCGGGTGGGCTGGGGGGCGTGCTGTGGGAGAGGTCTGCCTTACACGTTGGTCCCAGAGGCACCTGAGAAACAGGTCTCTGGGAGGCATGGGGTGGACAGGAATGAGAAGGACAGAGATATGGAAACAACCAAGTCATCTCGTGGATTAGGACCCTGCAGGACAGGGCGGAGCTGCCCCTGGGCGTCTCCCAGGCGGTCAGTCTTCACGGGAGCAGACAGTCTGGTCTTTCTCCCGAGGAGCTAATGGACAGGTACATATGCAGATAGATAGACAGACAGACAAACACACTGCCATCGAGTGGACGCCGACTCACAGC